AAGATAACCTCCTGTGGAGCAGTTTACCTCTCATGTTGGTTTTTATATCCTTTCCTTGTCTTGTTTTTATTTGGCAGTAAAAGTACACTCTGTCCTGTTTCACAAAACATGGAAGTAAGAATAACTTAAACTATACATAAAAAGTTTTTAAAGTTGTCTCGTGGTGACAAATATTAAAATAATGATCAAACATTTCTGAGACTTAATTTATGGCCAAATTCAGTTAGCCACTCAGAAAATGTAGGAAATTCTTACAAATACACTAACTAGGTCTGATAGTTATGTTGGTGGGAGTTCTGAATGAACAGAAACAGAGAAAAAGCTTAACAGTTTGGCCCAGTTAGATGCTTCCAAAAAACTTACAGGAAGTTTCAGCTATATTTACAATCCAGATATTACCTCTCTTCCTTTTCTTGCATCTTTGAATGGGTTTGGTAGCTGAGCTCTGTGTCTCCATATATATCCATGCGACCTAGTATTGATGTTTCTGTGTCATTTTGTAGCTTAACAAGACTGTTTTGCAATCTTACATTCTCATGTTCCAGTTTGTGAATGGAAACTCTGAAATCTTCTTGTTCTTTGTTAGATAAATCTATACTCTGTGAAAGAAGATAAATCCATCATTAAAAAGTTGTTTTTTCCACAATAAATGGATGTTAGTATTTTTAACAAGCAAACACAAACCAATATTCTATGCTAAAGAAAGACCTAGCTACCATATGTAATCATGCAGCACTTCTAGCAAACCAAGAAAATTGCCTTCAGAAAAAAACCACTGTAGATAAATGGAAAAGGAGGGATAACAGCCTCTGTAACACAATAAAATAAATTAAAATTTCTCAACAAACATGCATTCAAAATATTATTGTTGTAAATTCATTGCTTGCTTTGTAAAACTTATGACATAAAAGCAACCATAACAGCTATAGCTGCAGACTGCATTGCTCCCTCCAGTAATAATTCCTCTAAAAATAAGAAAAAATTATAGAAGTGCATTACTGTACTACATACAGGGTATGTCTACAGGCACAATTTATATCTGTGTTGAGGTACAGTCACCTTCAGTTTCAGAAGCAGAAAAGTAAAGCCACATTAGCACAGTGGTCTCCATCTGTGTTGCCAAACCCTGCTTCCCAGCTGGGTTAGCCCAATGCTAAAAGTCCGAGCAACACAAGCACTGTGACCAGGGGCTAAAGAAGCCTATCCACTGGGATATCAAAAGGGCAAGACGGAGATTAGCTCTGGAAGCTGACTAGCCAGGATACCCCATTCCTTTTTTGTCCTGTCACTTATTCCCTGAAGCCCGTGCTGCCCACCTGAGCTAGCTAATTTGGAACTCTCTCTGTGGAATGCTGCATTGCACTGTGTAAAAATGTTTGCAATAACAGTATGCTGTCATCAACAGAAAATTCTCAAGAGAGTTATCAAATGACACACAAAAGACTAAAACCCCATACATTATATTAAGTTGTGCTTTCATATATTTCTAGATTTACCTTATTCTTTTGGAACCCAGTAACTCATGAGTAGTAAGGATTTGGTTCTTAGCATACTGTTAGCACAACTGGGCTCCCGCACGTGAAAGTTTGTCAATTGCTTGCACTAACTGCTCTGATGTCATCTCTTCCTGTAAACCTTGCCTTGCTAAGCTAGTTTTAGGGGAAATTTATGATCCAAGCCAGCATGGAAGTGTCAGAAAGTATAAGAAAATTTAATATTTTATGTGAGGATGGGGGGCAGGGGCTCAGCTATGTCTCTTAAGTGGAGAGGAGTGGCAGAACAGAGGAAGAACAGAGGGGCCTACAAGAAAGATGGGGAGAGGCTGTTCAGGAGGGCCAGTTGTGATAGGACAAGGGGTAGTGGTTTTAAAATAGAGGGAGGTAGATTCAGGTTGGATATTACGAAAAAAATTTTTACCATAAGAGTTGTAGAACACTGGAACAGGTTGCCCAGAGAGGTGGTGGATGCTCCATCCCTGGAGACGTTCAAGGCCCGGTTGGATGAGGCCCTGAGCAACCTGATCTAGTTGGAGATATCCCTGTTCCTTGCAGGGGGGTTGGACTAGATGACCTTTGAAGGTCCCTTCCAGCCCTAACGATTCTATGATTCTATGATTCTAAGAAGGAGAGTGCTATGTCATCCTACCTCTATAGCTCTAAAATCAGCAGTACAGTTATAATGTCATGAACCCCAAAACTGAGCTGGTACAGCCACATTGCTTTTGAAACCTAAACAAGTCATCCTGCCTGAGGATGCGCTGCACCATACCGACTTAGGCTGGCACTAGTTCGAGGGGTCTGTGTAGCGCTCTACTGTACTGTACAAACACATCCTAAAAATATCTTCATTCCCTGCAATCTTAATATCCAAATACCTCACAATCTTTAATGTTTAGATTCTCACAATACACTAGTAAAGTAGGAAAGAATTATTGGGTCCATTGATATGTGTAGTGACCTTAGTGTACCTAGTAACTGGATTTTGCTGTTAAGATTTAACAAACACGTGATATCTACAAGGACTCTTGTCAGGCAGCTCTTCTCAATCTTCGTGAAGAATATCACTATAGAGAAGAGCTAGACAGGCACACACACATCCATTTATGTTTCCACAATAATACATCATATACACACATACATATATCCATAATATTACGTATGTATATATAGGTAGTACATCATAGACATATATGCTATTTTAAGGGTATGGAAAATGCCCTTTCCATAAAAACATTCTTTCATGCACTTGTCAGTCTACAGTAAGACAACTAACAGACTACAAATCCCTCAAAGTATTTACAAGCAACATTCCATTTTTTTTTCTAGTGACAGATACAATAACTGCAGATGTTCTGTAAGCAGGGGATGTTTTGAAGCCTTTTGTGGAAGGCAGCATATATAATATTTATTATGTCCATTTAAGCTACAGTTCTACACGATATTGTGGCACACTTTTTATGAATTAAATATCCCTGTTTGGAAAGAAATAAATACTAAACTCTGAAAATAAGCTGGGTGAGGACAAAATGTGTCAGTTTTTTAAATATCGTATGAACAAAGGGATAAAATAGTAAAAAAAGAACATATTTTTGTATCTGTGAGAATGATGACTGTTTAAAAATAACTTTTTTTCTGAAATAAGGAACAGCACTTACAAAAAACAGGCTCCCAGAAACTGTTTAGCATCTGGACAGTTACTGAAAAATTTAGCTTACTTCTAGTTTACTACAATTAAGGTCAAAATTATTCTGAGCTATACCCATCTTCAGGCTGTGTGTGAATACCACTTGGTTTTGATTCTGTCACACACCTTATTTTTATTTGTTTTATGCAAGTCAGAAATCTCTGAATCTGCCATGATCTCAATCTACGTCTACAGTACATATAAGCAACTGTTCTGCATATTGCATAGATTAAAAAAATTACCGTGCAACTTTTACACTCCTGGTTTTCCACCATCTCTTTTAGACGTGTGTTTTCAGATTTGATAACTTTGTATCTGAAATCCAACAACTAGGAAAAGATACAATTCTTAGTTAAATACAAGAATAATTCGAAATAACATTGAATATAGACATTTGTAAGTTTAATTTTACAAAATATATGTAAAGAAGTATAAAACTATAATAATATTTGTGTTTTTTTTTTAAATACAGCAACACTAGAGCAGAAAGAAGTCTTAAACTATCTATAAAAGATATACAAATGCAAATATATATATACAAATGCCTCTGATTCTATTTATCTTTTTGAAAGAAGGAACCACTTAGGAAAATAAGGGAGTTCACATGCAGTTATGAAATACAAAGAGCAACAGGTTTTGCAGGCCACTGAAACTGGATGAAATCCTAGTCATGAAGCCTCGGAATGACATCCACTTCTTTAGTGATATGGTAGGGAATATGGCCTGGTAAGGAGTGCCATAGAGTAGCAAACATCTCTCATTTTCCCAAACACTAACTTTCCTATAAGTATTACATTAATCACAATTTTCAATATGCAGTGACGTTCTCACAAAACTCGGAGATACGCAGAAGCCTCTAAATATGAAGGTTCTTTTGGTTTACAAAACTAAGTAATCAAAACATATTTGTTTTTAAAACTGAAATTTGCCTTTAAAACACAGTTTTCAGCTTTTCACAAGAATATTCTAAGCAGATTGTAATATTCTTCAAAAAGCTTTAAAAAACCTGAAAAATTAGCAAACATTCTAGATAATCTAATAAGCGGTTCTAATGATAAAGTGCATATAATAAGAACAAACCCGAAGTTTTCAAGATCTTTTCCATGTGACAATGGTAACTATGTTTGATGGTCAGAATGAATTGCAATTTTGACATACAGTTGACATTTGCTGGTGTTTTCTTGTTCCAGTATCAATTTGGCTGCTTTAGTAATGCTTCACAGACATTGCCGCGCTACTGATGAAAACTACAGCAAGAAATGTAATATCTTTTTTTGCAGATAATGTATGTCATTATCAACAGCGTGGAGTAAAATGATCTAGACTGGTTTTGACCACTTGCATACCTGTTGTTTTGCTAACAATTTGTCTTTTATCTCTAACTGCATTTTTAACTGTCTTTCCAGAAGACTAGCTTTCTCCATGATAGTTGCTATAGTGATCTCCTTCTGATGAAGCTCTTCTGTCAGGTCAGAGATTTCTGTCTTCATTCTTTCCTGCTCAGAGCAATGGGACTGTTCCTCTTGATAAACATGGTTTCTTATCTGTAGCAAATATGTTTCAAAAAGAAAAAATGTTGTGCAGTAAATATGATTGCATCACTTGCTGTCTACCAGTGACTTTTTTTGCTGTTGCTTCCAAGACACCAACTCTTCTAACCAAATCAGATTTTTGAGATTGTATAATAAAATGTCTTCATGAGTCAGTGCACATAGCTTTATTGTTATGTCTTTTTTTTAACCCTTCTCTTGTGCTTTCATTTGCTTATTTAGTGTTAAAAATGAAAAAAATATAAGGCATTTAAATTAACATTTAAAAAGAATGTAATAAAAATAATGTTAATTTTAAGAATTGGAATTTATGGCAAAGAGTATCAAAGGAAACATTCATTCAATAAATCTAAGTATGATTTATTTATATTGCTTCTAAGTTAATTTACGTTTAAAATAAGTTTAATGTAGCCTAAGTTAACAAAAAAGCAATAGAAATAAATCAATCTAGAGACTCTTTTAATGGGAAACTATGTTAGAAATAAAGAGTATATACGGTAAATGACTTTCTGAGAATTTTTACTGCCATTATATGCAAAAATCTAAGGTCAAACTTTCTGCACTGTCTCTGTGCAGAGTTCTTCAGAGAATCAACACAAAGATTGTTTTCATAATCTACATAATCTTTCTACTATAACCAACAATTTAGTACTGATAGATTTTTTTGTTATGTAAGAAACAAAACTACAAAAAAAAGCAGCATAGCAACCTTTGAACCCATTTTAATAATTCCTCGCAGCACTGTACACAATCAGCAACAGATGGCATTTCATTTTTATTTATACAAACTACACAGAAATACTCAAATTGTAAACAAATAGATGGAAATGTGAAAAACAGAAGAGCTAGATCATGCCAAAATTGCTGCTCCCAAGTCAGCTGCACCCAATTAGAGATATTCCTGCTCACGTTGCTACTCAGCAAAACCACAACATGCCTGTAAGAGGAGTCCCGAGCATCCCCCACTCCCGAAGTGTTTCGGCCCGCCAAGCAAGATGAGGTTCCTCAGTGCCGTGCTCGCACACAGCACTTCTGAAATGCACAATGCAATGTGACGCAGAGTTCAAACTAAAGAGCACTGCCCTGGACTGTGCAGCAGGTGACTGATTACGGCCTTTCATGTGCACCTGACCTAGTGACCTGTATCAGTTGATCTGTTGGCATATATGACATCTGAGACCACCTATAAACTACTGCTTGCCTCCTATAGCCTATTCATTACTCGTAGCCTTGGAGAGTTTATTACTTGTGTGGTAGTATCTGAATCATGGTGCTGCTTAGCCACGGTCTCTTCCATTATTTCAATCAAGTAGCTAGCTCTGTTGTTAGCACACAGAATCAGAGCATCAATTTTACAGCTATACAACTACCTCCAGAAATGCAACCATATATGAAAACTTTTTCATATATAAAAGCCTCATACTTGCCTAAAGCCAAAATTTATCCTCGTGCTCTCTTCTGCGTATGCACATACCCAAGGTCAGTACTCTGCTCTCTTTTTAAAATCTCATATTGCAGTTAAAATCCAGAAATACTTAACAATATGAAATACTTTGTTTGGCTCTTGTTGGTGTTCTTGACTTTGTGCCAATAATAATAACTCAGCGTTTTGATTTTCTAGTTGCTCAGTAAGTTGTACACAAGATGATTGATGCCTTTATATAAGAAATAAACAAAACATGAAACAAGGACAATGTTCAATAACCTTTGCTTTACAGTATCCTCTCCTCAGGGTAAAACTGCTGAAGACTTGCTCAGTGATGAAAAACAAACAAACACACAAAAAGTTTGGCCTAAACCAGGTTCAATCTTGGAAGATATCTAGAGATTAAGATGCAAGCGCATGCAGAAAGAATCCTGAAATGTCTAGTAGGTTAGTATTTCACATAATCTCAAATAGATACGGTAGATTAGATAAACCATAAAAAGATGAACATTTTACTCAAAGGAGGTTAGGGAGAATCTTAATTGCACTACTACCAAAGTGTTTTAATGCTGAGAAAATGAAAGGCCCTGTACACATATAAATGGAAATAAATTAAATGCATTGATTTGTAAAGATCTAGGCGACATTAAAGCCTTTTAACAGAGCCTGCATCTATTGCCTGCAATTTTGTCATATATAATTGCTAATGAAAACGTTTATTCAAAAATTGTTTAGAATCTGACATTTGAATCCAGAGTATCTTTTTAAACAGGCTTAATTTAAATAGAATGTAAGAAAAGTTATTAGCGCAGAAGTACTTGTTAATTTAAATGTTGTCTTCAACATACATACTTTACTTGAATTTCCTGCATGTGTTTATACTCTTTGATTTTCAATAGCTCTGTATGTAACTGTTGGCATTCCAGTTGTATTCTTCTCCAGAGAGCATCCCGTGACTGCAGCTCATTTCTCATTACTGAAAAGCCTGCCTCCATGTTCTAAAGAAACAAGCAAATATACAAACAGTTAAATAAAATGAGACAGTACTAGCTCAAAATGCTGTATTTTAACACATGATTTTCAATATCTGTAAAATTTGCATGAAAGGACATACATGCTTGTATTTTGAGGTTCCTTTCTGAAAAATGCATTGCTTTCATGTCAGTCCCTTTCTCCAGAAATGTCAGGTAAAAAATTAGATGCTGAATATTCTTTAGCTCTTGCAATGTCCCAATGCATCTGTCTCTCAAAACTTCATAGGAAACATCATTCAGAAGTTCTTTATTGCACTAAATACATCTAAAATACATAGTCTTGTCTGTTTCAGAAGGTTCTGCACCCTAGAACATACTCAACATGCAGGAATTAGTGCCCTAATTAACTTGCATTTCCTATTTTCCTAACAGCATTTCCAAATTTGTAAGCTTTAAAAGTACAAGGCTATAGAAAGGCAGGATTAGGTGCATGTCTTCATTAAACTTTGTCTGGAAGCTTGGAGCAGATACATCTAGACGTTAAGTACTTAGATAAGATGTGTGCTCAATCATCTCCAAAATGAGTTCTATCTGCACGGAGCTAATTGCTTATTTAAATGAACATCACAAAGTTTTAAAATAATCACAAAAAGATTTTTCTTAGGGATTCCTTCCAAATCTTGTCTCTATTTTACTTTTAATTTCTGACCGATAATGAGATAGACAACCTGAAGATACATGTTCTATTCGGCATCATAATTATGAATTAAGAATTTATGAAAATTATGAAATATATTATGAAATTATGAATTTCTCAAAAATATGCTGAAAACATACTAAAGACAAGAACTTGGAAATAAAACCCACAAATAACAAAAGTAGCAATAGTCATCAGATTCTTGCAATAATAATATCTGGAGAATATTTATTTCCTCTCACCTAAGATCCAAAACCATGTTCCAGATTAAAAAACAAATAAAATTTTCCAAGGATGTTGATCCTTTGCCTTTAAAACTATTATACTAAAACCACTAGTAGTTTTCATAATTTCTTAATTTTATTTTAATAGAGTTCCCACGTTTAAAAGCAAAAATAAAGCCTTTTAACTGGAATCCAGAAATGACACCGCAAGCAAGGAACTTCAAAGGTTTATTTCCCTTAGAGCTTTTTAATAGAATGACCTTCCTTCCAAGAACCTGTGGTTTTCCTCTGGCTGAAAGGGCTCCTGAAGACAGATATGAAGTGCTTAGTGCTTTTGCATTAGGTTTTTTTTTTTGCTTTTTTTTTTTTTTAATAGGGGCTGCATATACAGATTCATTCATCTTATCCTTTGTTAAATTAAGGCTGAGAGAAGGTTTTTAAACTCTGAAACACAGTCTGGGCATATTCAAGTGAAGTAAAGCTTAATGAATTGTTAAAATTGTCTGCAAGACTTGCTTGTGACAATCTTTATGACTTCAACATTAAAGAAATAGCCACAATTATTTTATAATATATGAATTTGGGGGAGGGTTACCCCTCTGATTTCATTCTGGGGTGGATAAGGGGAATGAATACTTCACAATTGTGTGGTGGAAGTCATATCATCTGTGGCAGACTGCAGTCATCATACCTATTTACATAAGTTGTATTTTATTCTGTGAATTATAATAATAGCAGGAACACAGCAGCCACAGCAGCAGCTACAATAATAATTGAAATAGAACTTCAGGTCAAGAGTTTCACACATCACTTCAAAAAAATAGTTTAGAGATGTACCACATTATTTTAGGAAATATCTATCGCAGCTAGTTAAAACAGCACAATGAAAACTTTATGTTTTGTTTAGAAAATATCTAATGAAATATAACTTTTCAAGAGTTTGTTTCGAGCTAAAAAATTTACCAAATCCTCTGTTTTCTTCTGTGAAAAGTTTCGCTTCAACTAGCTTGCCATGTTTGGCATCAAAAGGAAGTCTCAAAAAAATTCCTGATCAGCCCCTGGTCTAATTCTACTCAAAGCTGTTCAACCCTTTTAATACAATTATATGCTGTATTTTTATGCATATTAGTGTCCACAGCTGACTTAATGCAGACTTTCCAAGAACCAAGCCTCCTGTGTGATGTTTTCAGGCTGCCTCTCATGTATGGCTGCAGTTAAGTTTGCCAGACCATTCATAAGGTAGAGATATAGTCTGCAGTCTCAGTCTCACTCTTCTAAGGTTTGTATTTTCTGTATAGCCAACAGTCTGGTCTTCCATACATTTCACTTTATCACTGTTTCCTTGCTAATTAATAGTGTGAGAGAAATATTTAGGAGAGACATGAAATGGTCATAGACATAGAAGATATATGAGGCATAATTCTGGGCTTGCTGCCATTGCCATCAGCCTTCTCCCCACCAAGACTCCCATCTGCTCCTCCCTCCTTTACCCACATCAGATCCAACTATTCCCATCCTCCATGGAGCACTCCTTCACGCAAACCTGCTTACTCCTTCTGGCTGATGATAGGCCTTGCACTTCTTTCTCATACAGTGGTTCCTAAAAAAATATTTTCCCTGAGCTACATGTTTTTACATCATACATTGACTTGACATCAGTGTTTCCCTTCTGCAGCTATTTGCAAATGTGGCTTTTCTAACAAACACAGCAGGGTTCCACACCACCAGCACAGTTATTCTGCAGCTTTCTGCCTTTTAGCTGATAATTTATCTACATCTAGCTCTACTTCTACTTAAAATGTTTTCAATGCTTACTACAGCTCCCGTATTCTATTCAGATGATTCCAAAAATCTTCTTGCTTGGAGATTTTCTTAAAGGCTACAGCACAATGACATCTGCTCTCTCTGTCATGAGGCATCTATCCACCTGCTCCGATTGCCATGATTTGTTCCAGCCCATATTCTAGTCTCGCTACTTTTGATGGCAGCCTTTTTAACAGGCCCCAGAACAGAGGTTTTCCTTGCATGCTGATAGCTTGTGTACAGGCGAATGACTCATTGAACTAACGTGCACATGAAATGTATAAACATCACATGTGCTAAACTTGACTGTTCTGACAACACCAGAAATTAATCTCCACCACATACATGTTAATTCATATCAAGTATATTGCATTTGAAGTTATAACTCTGCAAGGTTGTCTATAAACAGAAATAGATTATCTTTCTCCTGAAAGAGTCGAAGTTGCTATAGGCCACTCAATGTATTACTGAACCTCAAAGTGCTTAAAGAAGTAAGCAAAAGCATAATTTATATATGTTACCAGAAAAAAGTAGCAACGAGAATCTCATTCCTGATCTACTCCAAACATAGCTAATAAAAAAGGTTGTAAAGATCTTGTATTATCTCAATCTTGTCAGAACTCATATGTCAAGACCAAGAGAAGAGATTCAAATGGCTGCCTTCATAAATCAGTCCTACACGGAAAAACAGTACATCAGGAATAAGATAAAAACTGATGGTTGTTCACATGGCTGGCAACTTAAAAATTCATTGACTGCAGAATCTTCTCTGGTGTATACCATGCACTTTTTTATATACTTATTTACTAGCTATATGGCACAGTGTAGGACAAGATCTAATGCAGATAAAGAGATTTCATAAAAGTCATTTATATACAAGGAGCCAAGTGAACTAGACTAAGTTCCTGTAGATGCTACGGATATAGGAAAGTTTTAAAATCTTAGATAAACAGACAAGAATAAAGTACACTACTACATATCAAACTTATTGCTGTTTTCCTTTTAAATGTTACTCAAAAAATTGTACTGTTCACAGCTCATTCTGTGTTCCTGGAAAGAATATACCTAATGTACAGATTTTTTTATATAGGCATCTCAGTATAACTTTTTTAAGTATACTCCTACATAACTAATTTTCCAACATTAATCCCACAGTCATCATGAAAAATAAAAACTATTACTACCTGGTACTGGTTTTGGTACGTTTTTAGATCCTCCCGAAGTTTCAGATTTTCCTCTTCTAGTTTATTCTTGTTTAATGCTATTTCATTCACAGTTGCCTTTAGCTTTTCAATAATCAACTCTTCCTTTTCACCTTTGGGCTGGCCATAACTAATTACCTCTTCTTGGTTTTGTTTCTTATTGCTTGTTTGGAATTGATAATTCTGGGTTGGCTTCTATAAAACAAGAAACTATTTTAAATGAAATTCAATAATTATATGTAAATTGCCAGGACCAAACCATTACTCCTTAAATCATAAAGCTATTTCCATCTTCACCAGGATTTGCTTAGAAAAGATGGCACAATTGGAATAGTTTGCATTACTTCTCTAAAAGATACTTCCTTTTTTTAGTCTCATGTTCCTTGCCCTCAGTAAAAAAAAAAATGTTTCAGGAACTTTCAAGGGCATAGAATTTTTCAAGGACTTTTCTCCTTTGCTGTGTTATTTCCCTAGCACTTGATGTTAATTACCCCAAATGTGAAAAAGGTGATTATGATGACCTACTCAAAGCAGTTACCTCTAACAAATAATTCGAGAGAAATGTTCTTCTTTGATTCATTGAACTCACTAGGAGCTGTGTGTGTGTGCACCTCAGGACAGATATTAACCTTTGACTAGAGGACTAGCAGTACAGGACTCATGTATAAACAGCTCAGTTACTACAGTAGCTGTACTTCTTTGATATCATTATCCTTAAACCTGGGGAAGAATCATTGGCACGTTCTGCAGGGTCCCACACTCCATCCAGTTTCTTGTACTAATTAAAATCTGAAACTCAAAACTTCAGAAAATTGGTATTCCTGGTATTTGTGAATTCACAGGCATCGTGAAGAAGCATAAATACTATGGTAACTGTTTTTGCTGTTTAAAAAATTATCCACATGCATCCCTCTACTGGGAGATTAACAAGCAGCAGTAATCTTTCAGACGACTTAGAATTAGCTGAAAAATGACAACAAAATACAACCTGGAAGCCATACATCATGTGCAGAGATCAAGTCAAGCAAGAAAACGTATTATAAAATAAATAGGGTTACAAATACCATATTTCATTGCTAAGGACTGCAAAAAGGTATGCTTTAGACAGCTTTTGATGTCATTGACTATGTTCCCATAATTTCTGTTGGCTGAACACCTAAGTAGAATGGACCACTGGCTGCATACCAAATAAAAAGCCAAAAGAAATTTGCAGGTAAGTTTAATTTCTATAATGAATGAAGGTCCCCTGACGTCTAAGTTATGGACTCTGATATACCATAATGTCAAAGCATCTTGTGAAAAATATAATGCAAGACTCCAGCTGGGAATCAAAGACCTCACAAAAGAGGAATTTGAGACATAGACAGAGGACCCATTAATGCTTTTGAAACAGTTAAGGGGTAATAATCCATCAGACTTCTATTTAATAAACTAGTCAGTGTTATGTTGCAGTTGTGAAGAAAATTGTCTTCAAAGAACGTTCACTGACGGCTGTGATGTAAGCCTCAACAGAAAAATGTAGATGATCACCTTGAATGCCCTATTTTGACTCATCTAACTATAAAAGCAACATTCATCAGTCAGTAGTTTTGTCTAGTCAAAGCCTTGCTTTTTTAACACGTTTTTATGGAAGTTCAATAGTTGCAATATATTGCTTTCAGCATCTATAAACAAAAGTTAACTGTCATCCTTGGAAACTCTGGATATGGGTAAACAGTCTCATAGGAATTGTTAAGAAAGCATTTCACTAGATTAAGATCCAATGAATTTAGTAACAGTGGAAAAGGGGATTACTAGTCAGCAATTGGCTTCCCCTTAATTTTCAAGCTGTCTTGTGGCCCAGTTAATATCTAAGTTATTTTCTGATTTATTTTTCGAGCAGGATAGGTCATCAAGACATCATTAAACCAATATTTTGTTCTGGATTGGAAGGAATTAAAAAAAAATTGCTAGATCAATAGGCTACGTAAAAAAAAAAAGTAATAAGCAAATTGGCAAGTAAAAAAGAATCACAAAGTCAACCAAGGACTGAATGGTAACCTGAAAGCTGAAAAATATGATAAGAAGGCATAAGTGATCCAACAAACAAATCCAAGGGTGATTCTGGAGTAGCATATAGAAATTCATTTTTCTGCATAAAATATATTAATGTATATTTATGATCTTATAAAAAAAGGAGGGCTATTTTAGATTTGAGGGAATTTCATATTTGAGTCAACATAGTAATGGCATATACCACTTACTTGGTAATATATTTCAATAACTTTTCATCACAGTTAATTGCACATTAGTAAATAGCATAGAAGACAAAAGTATCTCCACTATATACTTAAAAAAGTAAAATGGAACATGCACTGCTTTTTGCAGTTTTTTAAATCCGAAATACTGTAATTTTCATCATGATACTTATTCATTTTGTCATTTGCATAAGGAAAATAAAATTAAAGTAACTGTATTATTAGATCTTTCAGTATGTGCCTGCTTTACCTAGAGCAATGTATTCACTACCAATATATCCATTTACTGTCAGATTCTCTGTAAGCTTAGAGGTGTTCAGATTTTTTAAATTAAGTTAAAATAACTCTAGCTGAGATAACAGCTCATTTAATTATAATTTTCTTCCTAAAGCAGCAAGGGAGGAACTTTACCTGAAATAAATTACATTTCTCAGACAATAATTTTTGTTGAGCATCTAAATAATTGAGGTAATGTTGGCAAATTATCCTCTTCTTATCCCATTCTCTTGATTTTGCCTTAAATTCCTGAAAAACAGAAAGAAAAAAAGGCTAGTAAACACACAGAAAAAAACTTTTTTGCTTAATCTAAATAACTTCGGAATTTGTATAGTCCTAAGAAAAGTGACGTTTTTTAATTAACATGTAATCTTTCCAGAATTTTGGAAAGAAGAAAAAAAGAACAATGATACAAACCAGCCATCCAGCTATCTCCACCAGAAAAAAAAACAGTCTCAAGGGCTGTTAATATAAAAAAAATGGGCAGTCAACATAATCATTGAATAAAAATAATAAAATATTTTAAATCATTTCCATTGGTGGAGATCTTAGAGTAATAATACACTCATTTTATTGGAGAGTAGTTCCTGCGACTTTAAAGCTATATCAGTGGCAAGTAATCAGTAGAGAATTGAATCCTTAATATTTAGACAAATGTTTTCAGTGCATGCTTTTTTTTTTTTTTTTAAACAAATGGGACAGCAGCTACTGTGAATAAATTTTACTTCTTTCTCTCTTTACAATTGCTGCTTCCAGTTCTGAGTTCACCTAGTTTAAACAAAAACTTCTTTAACAAATTCTATCAGATTTATCTAATATTTGTTTTGTATTTGCACTTATATTCCTATTTATACTATATCTGAATTTGCTTTTAAATTATACCAGATCTTATATGTTCACAACTAGACTTTAACAGTAGTATCCTATAAAATACGTAGGAGAACTCCCATTACTAGAGCTGTTGCTCTTTTAGTTTGAAGAATTAGCAAAATAAAAATATAATGTTTTATACAGTGAAAACTGTAACACTTATAAGCTGTTATGAGAACTTCCTTTTTCGCAATGGAAATGTAGGTTCCAAAAGGATAGATGATTTTTTATAATTATCCTAAACTGGCATATTCCCCAAATTAAAAAAAATAAGATTTTATTTGCTATTGAAACAAAATTGAATGCTTTCCAACATAGATTAATATGAATCTTCTCTTATAGCTTTCCTAATACCTACTTTGGCAGTTTAAACCAATAAACATCTTCCCATTTTACAAAATGTGGTACAAATGGAATTTCAGACTACTTAATGAGGACTGCCAGTTCAAGGCCTTACTAAGGCACTGCTGAGCTTAGTAGATTTTTAACACAGTAATTATTTCCTGAATACTAGAATTTGCTGAATATATTCCAAGCACTCATTTTTCATACTGCATAATTAATCAAATTATAGCATTGTGTTACATTATTTTCACATTTTAATCTTGAATAAGGTCATTCTCATATAAGCTGGATCAGACAGTTTCACAGCAGTGATATATTTAGCCAACGATAGATGTATAACCCATTTACTATTCTTGTAGTAGCAGATGTTGGCAGCTATGCTGCAGTCCAAAGTGCAATAGCTTTTCTGATGGTAAGAACTCTTTCATGTGGTAGAGACAGCCACAATATGTAGAGCTAGGATGCATCTAGGATGTCTCCTGTTATGTAGAAACAGTCATCTGAAGGTCACAAGAGTTAGTCCTGTGTCTTACAGTGTAACAGAGAAGATAGGCAAGTCCAAAATAAATATCCCAAACCCCTGCTTAATTGCAGCTTAAGTATGAAAAGACTTAAAACCTATTAGATCTTAATTTTTTGATTGTAAAGTTCTCCAAGTGTCTAAATCATCTACATCATAAAGGTACATAAATATACATCATAAAGGTACCATAAACATACATCATAAACCTGTAAGTCTTCACAATGCTTAGCAGCTAGGCAACTAGCTCATACTTTCAACTGGTACTCCTCTGCTTACTTTCCTTACAGGACCCAGTTTAGTAAATGCTGGAAGCACACACTACTTCATAGATTTCAGAGATTTCTAGGTTGGAA